CCGGCGGGTCAGTGGGGCATGAGCACTCGCGGGGTGCCAAGGCGCTGCTAAATGGCTACTGCGTGGGCCGGCTGGAGGGGCACGAGGAGGAGCCGAGCGCCGGGGTGGCGGAGCTGGTGGACGAGCGGGCGCCGCTGCTGCCGCAGGTGCGGCACTCTGCGGCGCTCCCGCTGCCGGCATCGCGCGGATGTGGGCCGCTGCGGTGGCTGGTACGCCGCGCGCGCCGTGGTCGGGCGCCTGGCTGGCTGCTGGCCTTCCGCTGGTACGCCCCGCGCCCGGCTCGCGCGCGGGTCTGGCTGCTGCTGCTCCTCTGCCCGCCCGCGCCCCGCGGCAGGCCCACCTGTGTGTGCCGCCTGCCCCCTGCCTGCCTGCCCGGCCCTGCCTGCAGGTGGTCAAGCTGGCGCCTGAGGCATACCTGGAGTGGGTGGCGGCGCCCTCCACCGGCCACCCCGTCATGTTTGCAAACCCGGTGGTGGAGCGCCTGACGTGCACGCAGTGGTGCGCCCAGCTTTGCTGGCTCGGCTGCCTACCTGGGCTGCCTGCCTGGGCTCCTGTGTGCCCTGGGCGGCCGGCCCCGGCTGCTGGAGTTAGAGTGCATGGCTGGCTGCGGGTTGTTGGGGCTGGCCGTCTCTGGCGCCCCTGGATGCTGCTCTGCGTGGGTGTGCGGCCATGCCTGCTCTCCGCGCCGCCCCTCATCCCGCTCCCCTGCTCCCCCGCCGGATGCCCGCGCCGCAGGTACGTGGTGCCTCTGCTGTGGCTGCCCGTCGCGGCTGCCTTCATGTGGCGCGGCGTGGCCACGGGCGGCCTGTCGCTGGGCCTGCTGCCCGCGTCGTTTGTTGCCGGCGTGCTGATCTGGCAGCTGATGGAGTACTCCATCCACAGGTGGGCTGCTGCATGTCTGTGTCTGTGTATGGGTTCGTACCTGTGTGTGTCTGTGTGTGAGAGAGAGAGAGTTCAGTGTTGTGCGTGCGTGTGTTTGACTGTGTGTGTGTGTGTGTGCATTTTGTGTGTGCGTGTGTTTACCACATGTAGTGGCGGTTGTGTGCTGTGCATGCTGGGTGGGTCTCTGCAGCCGGAGCTGGGCTGCTTGGGTGTCGGGTAGCAAGCTGCTGGCTTGCCCCCGCCCGCAGGTTCCTCTTCCACTTCGACCCCAAGACCCCCAGGGGCATCGAGTGGCACTTCATGCTGCACGGGTGAGCGCCGGCAGGCATGGGCGGGGCAGGGGCGCAGGTTGTGGGGCCCGTGGCGCTCGTTGCGCTGCTGCGCGCCACCTCCTGCTCTGGCGGGGGCGCCTCGCGCTGAAGCGCTTGGCATGCCTCGTGCGCTGCCAGATGTACCGCTGGATTGTACATCATGTACTGCCTCCTTTCTCCCCACTGTACCGCAGCCACCACCACAAGTACCCCATGGACTTTGACCGCCTGGTCTTCCCGCCGGGGATTGCGGCGCTGGTCATCGCTGTATTCTACGTGCTGCTGCACCAGCTGCTGCCGGTGGTGAGTTGAGCAGGGCGGGCCCGCAGGCTGGCGGCGCGCCGGGTGTGGGCAGGCGTGCCAGAGGGGAGGGGTGGTGTGTGTGTGTCACGTGGGGGCCCGCGTGGGGTGTCCTGCCGCGTTGGGGCTTGGTGCCTGCCCAGCCGCCCTGCGGGCCCGCCTGCCTGCCCTGGTGGGGTCATTCCGGGTGAGGAGGGGCACCCACAATCGGCCTCCTGGCCTCTCCCTCCCCCGCCCCCCGCCCCCGACCCGCCTGGCACCGCAGAGCTGGGCCTGCTCGCTCCTGGGCGGCGGCGTGGCTGGCTACGTGCTCTACGACACCACGCACTGGGCCCTGCACAGCGGCAGGTGGGCCGGCAGCCGCGCACGTCACGGGATGGGCGGGCAGCCGGGGCGCGCCTGCGCCCCACACCCGCCTCTGCGCCTGCGACCCCCTCCCTGCCGCTCCACATGCGCCACTTCAGCTGCTCGCACCCTTTCAAACGCGCCTTCACCTGCCTCCACACCCCTTCATCTGCTCCCCACCTCACTTTGCTCCACCCGGGGCCGCCGCTGCAGGGCCGACTGGCTGGTGGGCCACGTGCTCAAGTCGAGCCACATGGACCACCACTATGTGTGAGTGCCCCGCTGCCGCCCCACACATGCCTGGTTGCACCCGCAGGGGACGGATGTGCGGCGTGCTCGGGTGCCTGCAGTTCAATCGCCAGCCCACTCCAGTGCAATGCCGCCCGCCGCCGCGCCGCTCCGCCTGTGTGCTGCAGCGACGAGACTGTGGGCTACGGCATCTCCTCCACCCTCTACGACCACGTGTTCAGCACCATGGGCAGGCACCTGCTGAAGAAGGCGGCGTGAGGAGGGGGTGGTGGTTCGAGGCCCGCGGGGCGCGGAATCGCAGGACGCGCCCGCCACCGCTGCCGCCGCCTCGTGCCCAGTGGCCGACCGGTGCGAGGCACACGCCTCTCTGAGGCAGTTTCTGGCGCAGACGTCGACCCCGCCGGTTGTCCCCGGCCGCTTGTGCTTGCGCCATTGGATCTCGCTTTCCGACATTGTACGCTGCCTTTCGATTCCGTGGGTGGTGGGCTCTGCGCCCGCACGCCCACCGACGGCAGGCTTCACATTTACCGAGCCTTGCATCCCCTTCATTTATTCGCTCCTAGCGCTGTCCCACAAGTAACCAAGACCGACTCCCCAGGCTGCTTCACGGCGGGGGGGGGGCGGAGTGGGCGGGAGCGGCGGCGGCGGCGGCAGCGCGGGTGCAGCCTCTCCCTCTGCCGCATGTTCATCGCCCTGGGGGCCCAGATCACACTCCGTGCATTACTTCTGCATGTTTGCAATCCCTGGTCGATTGGTTTTCCCTGGAGATTTGGCTGCGTGGCCTCGAGGCGGTACGGACCGAACACCCCAAAAAGGTGACCGTCCGGCAAAATGTCCATAGCTCCCCCCATTCATCACTAAACCACTTGGATCAATACTGTGGCTGCTGAGACCTGTTCTGCTGCTCCCCCCGAAACTTCCGGCCACCCGTGGACCCCCATACATCGATGAGAACTCCGTTCCTGCGCAGCTGGAGGCGCTCCAATTGCGGGGAGGCGGTCACAGCATCAGGATGCCTGCAGCGCGCTGGATGCAAGCCAGCCGCCACGCCGCCGGGAGTCCTCAACGCCGTGTTGAGGCCCAAGCCCGCCCCAAGCCCCAAGCCTGCCGTCGTCGGCCTTCCCCAGGTGCCTTGAAACACGAATTGGGGGTCAGGAGCCGCGCCGGCCGCCGGCGTCAACATATCCACGATTCATATCTGCTGCGGCCGCTGGACTGCGCCCCCTCGTCGCCGCTCCCGACGTGAACTCCGGAAATGACATCCCCCTGCCCTGCCATGTCATCCCTGTTTCAGGTGGCCTTCGATGAAGACTCCCTGGCTGACCAGCTGTGCGCCGAACTGCTCCAACAGCCAGCCGCCGCCTCCGAAGTGGTAGGCAGGGCCAGCGATGCCGCCGCCGCCGTCGCTGCCATGCTGTGCGGCTGCGGTAGCGCCGTCTCGGCGGCAGCGGCGCTGGAGGCCCTGTTCCCGCGGGCCTCTGGCATCACGCTGCGCTGCCCTGCGGCGGGATGCGGCGGCGAGCTGTCGCTGCAGCTCTCTGGACAGAGCTCCAGCCAGCCATGCAGTTGCTCTGTGCCTACGCTGGCAAGCCTCGCCTCTGGCGGCCGCTGCGAGTGCAAGCTGGCAGGAGTGCAGCAGCCCACCGCCACGGAGCAGCGCCAGCTGGCGGCCTTTGTGGCGGTGCTGGGGCGGCAGCTGTGCCAGCTGATCAAGGAGCAGCAAGAGGTGAGGAGCTGCTGGTCCTGGCGCTGCTGCTGCTGCTGCTGCAGCTCCCTATTAGCGTCATGCGGTGCAGCGGGGCAGGACACGCTGTTGTTGCTCCACCCCTGCTGAGGACAGATCGCCCTTCCTGCCCCCCCCCACCCCCGACCCCCCATCCCCGCCACTGCAGGCAATGCTGTCCTCACTGAGTGCCGACCTGAGGCTGCAGGCGGATGCCGCTGCCACGGCGGCAGCCTGCAGCCACGGGGCGACCAAGCTGGCGTCACCCTGCTCCCCCAGAAGCGTGCTGCCCGGCAGCACCATCCTTTCACATGCCTAGGCGGTCACGCCGACGCAGGCAGATACATGCAAAGCGGGCAGGCGGGCCGCCGTGCTAGGCCCTCCCGCTCGCGCAATGCACGCAGCACACCCATGTTACATACATAAACACGGCTGCCGCCTGGTATGGCGCGGAGCCGCTGCATTGGATCAGTGCCCCTGCCGCTCCTTCCCTGGTTCGTGGGAGAGAGCATTTTCTGCAGGGCACCTGCACTCGCACACACGTTTTTGCTCCTTGCCAGCATTGCTAGACAACATTTCCTTTGCTTGACTAATCCTGCCTCGCGCATCAACTCTCCTCTCCCACCAGCGTCCTCTCCCTGACTAGAATTGTCCCGAACTACCCCACCTGCCCAATGCATGAAAGTGGCTGGCCAGCAGTTGCTGGCTACGGCGCCCAGTGTCCCCACATACTCAACATACTAAGTATCAAGCATTTGCTCCCGTCCCGCAATGCCCGCTCCTTTCCACCTGATCCTCCTTCTGCGCCCCCTGTAGCGTGCTCCACATGAGCACTGTACTTGCCCCCTACCTGAACCACCTAACCCCGGACCCCCCATTTTGTTCCCCACACATCACACACAACTGAGATCAATCGCTGTAACACGGCATGAACATGCTAGCATGTTCATAGCGCTGAGCCCGGGAGCCCTCGAGCCTGGAGGCAGATTGCAAGCTAGGGTGCAGCTTACATGGGCAATCCAATGAGGTCTATTCAGTGCACATGCGCAATATTGGACTGACGAAACAGCTCAAAACGAAATGCATGCAGCGGCACAACCACGCATGCCTGCAGCCACTGAGCCCCCCCGGCCGGCAATGCAGGACAGGCAATCAGCAGGGGGAGCAGCAAGCGGGGAGGGTGGCGGCATGTGCCAGCCAGCCAGCCAGCCAGCCTCACTGGATCTCCAGGCGGGGGAAGCCCTGGTCGTCTGTCTTACTGCGCACCACCTGCGCTGTGCCCGCTGCGGCGCCGCCGCCGCCCTGCTGGCGCCCCCCGTCTTGTGCGGCCGCGCCCTCGCGCGCGCCGGCGTTAGCCTGAGCGCTGCCGGCGCCGCCTGCATCCTGGCTGCCGCCGCCGGCGCTGCCGTCCACGCCCCCAAACAGCGCACCGACGTTGTCGTCCACGTCAGCGCCCTGCATGCTGTCGCCGGCGCCGCCGGCACCACCACCCAGAGTGCCGCCCGCCGCATCGCTGCCATGGCGGCTGCCGTCCAGCTCGAACAAATGGTCCCCGCCGTCGCCAGCTCCGGCGCCGGCCAGCGCGTCTCCACCGCCGCCGTGGCCGCCTGTGGTGGTGGCGGTGTGGGCGCCTGCCCCGCCGCCGCCGTGCGCAAAGTGCTTGCCTTTGCCCAGGGCATGACCCCTCACCGCCTCCGTCACATCCTCCACCCCGCTGCCACCCAGGTCCGCACCGGAGCCGGCGCCGGCGCCTGCACCCGTGCTGCCGCCGCCGCCGCTGGCGCTGTTGTCGGAGCCGGCGTTGAGCCCAAAGATGGCCTGCTGGTTGGCCAGAGCGTCGGCCGCCTGCTGCTGCGCAGTCTGCTTGGCGTCGTGGTGCTGCTGCGCGGCATGCACCCCGGCCACCATGGCGTGCTGGCTGGAGCCGCCGCCACCACCGCCCATGCCGCGGCCTTCTGTGGCGGCAGCCACGGCGGCGCCCAGCGTGCCGTCCAGCCCGCCCGCTTCGCCGGCGCCCGCGCCAGCAGCCTGCGCCCCGCCGGCCTGGGCACCAGAGCCGAGCACGGTGCCCGCGCCGGCGCCGGCGCCCAGCGCCGCGCCCGCGCCCGCCCCCGTGGCCCGGGCTGCCTGCTGCGCGGCGGCGGCCATGTCGGCCTGGGCCTGCTGCTGCTGCTGCACCAGGCTGGCCGCCGCCTGTTTGTGGTCGGCAGCCTGCTGCTGCGCGGCGGCCACCTGCTGCTGGGAAGCTGCCCGGTCGGCCACCGCCTGGTCCTGGGCGTCCCTCAGCTTTTTCTGCAGCTCCCTCACCTGGCTCTGGGCCAGGTCCACCTGCGGAGCAGGCGGGCGAGGAGGGAGGGAGTCGGTGGCAGCATCCGCGGCACGAGCCAGAAGGTCCAGGCGCCGAGCCCAGCGTGCCCACGCCCCAGCTCGCCAGCCACGCGAGGCGTGCCAGCGGCAGGGGCCTGCAGGCGAGGCCGCAGGCAGCCAAGCAGGGGGGGCACGGCTGCGCGCATGGCTGCGGCCGCACACACCTGCGCCTGAGCCTCTGCCAGCTGGGCAGCATAGCGCCGGCTCTCGTCCGAACACTGCTTGCCCTGCTGCCTGGCCTGCTCCGCCTCGTGCTTGAGGCCCCGCTGCTCCTGCTGAAGCTGCACGCATGCGGCGGTGGCAGGTGGCGGCAGAGCCGGCGGCGGCGAGCCAGGCGGGCCAGAATCGAGGAGCGCTCGGGGCCGGATGGTGCGCCACCGGCAGGGCCGGCAGGCCGGCAGCAGCAGCCTGCGTGCGGCAGCACCGGGGCCAGCACCCCGGCAGATGCATGGGCAGCGTAGCATGATCAGCAGGACACAGGCGTGGGCGGCAGGCAGCCCTGGGCATGACGTGCATGAGCAGCGCACCGTGGCTATATCCTCATGTGCCTGCGTCAGCTCAGCCTCCACCTTTTCCTTGTCTGCCTTCAGGGCGTCCGCCTGCAGCCCACACAGCCCTCCACACAGCAGCCATCAGTCCGTGATCAGCCAGCAGCTGCGCGGCAAGGGGCGGGCGGCAGGGCGCGGCGAGCAGGCGGCCGTGCATGCGCCCAACCGGCACCCACCTTCGCAGTTGCCTCCTTGAGATGGCCAGACGCCACCTTGATGGCCGCAGCCAGGGTCTCCTTACCCTTCTCTGCAGGGAGGGGACAAGCGAGGAGGAGGTGCTCGCTTGCAAGGCACGACGGGTGCGGCGCGCAGTTGCCGCCGCCGTCAACCACGGATTTGATCGGCGGGCCCCCGGTACCCCCGCGCGGCTGTGCCCATCGGAGGCGCTTGCCTGTGCGGTGCAGGCGCGCTGCGAGGTCGGCATTCTCGGCCTGGGTGCCCCGCAGGATGATGAGGGCGACGAAGGCCAGCACGCCGGACGCCATCATCATGAAGACCAGCATCAGGATGCGGAAGTTTGGGGGCGGCCGCCCCCGCAGGGGTTTCACCTCTGAGGACATTGCTTGATCGGGGCGACCAGGACGGGGGCTGGCCTGCCCGTGGTCTACAAAGCGGGCAAGATCGGGAGGGGTGGTGATGGAGCGTTTCCGTGCTTTGGGGAGGCGCGGTGATGTGGCAGGGTTTTGTTTTTTGTTTCTCAGCCGCTCAGCCCTGCGGCGCTGCAATTCAACCTCATCTACCATCGTTCCGGGGGCCCTCGTGCTGCACCTGGGGCAGCGAGCGGAACAAGGTTGCCGAGTCCCACCCACTCCTCGATAGCTCCCGGGCAGCAGCAGCAGCCAGGGTGGAGGGCGGCTTCCTGCCCGAGCCAGCTCCCTCACGGCCGCCCGCCGCGAGCGGCAGCTGGCCCGCGGCGCCGCCGCAGCGGCCCGCGCCGCCGCCGCCGCCGCCTCGCCGCCCCGCCTCGGGCTGGGCCCCGCCTCTGGATCCCGACCGCCTCGACGAGCTCCCAGACGCGGCCGCCGATGCGCCGCAGACGGCCGGCTGCAGCCGCTGCACCAGCCTCAGCCTCAACGCGGAGTGGCACCGCGCGTTTGGCGTGGTGCTGTGCGGGCAGTGCAAGCGGCAAGAGGCGCTGATCAGCAAGGCGCGCCCGCCTGCCGACCTGGCTGCCTGGCTGCCTGCAGGCCTGCCGCCGTGCCTGCCCCGGCCCTGGTGTTGGTGCCCACACCGCCGCTTGCCGCCGCCGCCGCCGTGCCCCTCCCTGCCTCAGAGCACTGCCAAGCAGCGGTACAGCCTGAGCGACGGCGACCTGGCCAAGCTGGGCAGCCTGCGCAAGGCCAACCCGCACAAGAAGGACTGGCAGCCCATGCACCTGTACCTCGAGTCGCAGGTGGGTCTGCCTGTGGCTGTGTGTGGGGCTGTGCTGTGTGTGTTTGCAGTTTTGTGGGAATGCGTTTGTGTTTGGGGCTATCTGTGTGTGTGTGTGTGTGTGTGTATGTGTGTGTGCGTGCGTGTCCCTGGCCGGCTGCCTGCCTGGCTGGCTGGCTGCCTGACTGTTGGCTGGGCGGCCAAGGGCGCTTGGCGGGAGGGTAGCGCAGCAACGCGGCGGGGAGCTGCCAGTTGCCCAGGCTGGCGCTGCGCCTGAGCCGCAACTGCTGGCTTCAATGAGCAGGTGGCGGCGGCGGCGCACGCCAAACACGGCGGCGCCGAGGGCTTGCAGCAGTTCCAGCAGGGCCGGCTGGACGCACGCATGCAGTCCAAGCTCAAGGTGGGAACGGGCCTGCGAGCGGGCGCGGCGGTGTGCTCTGGCGGCAGGGGTGCATGCCATGCCCAGTGGGAAGAACGTGGTGGGCAGCCTGCACGTGCAATGCTCCTCCAGTCCGCCGCCATCCACTCCCGTGTGTGTTTGCTTCACCGGCCCTGCCTGCCGCCCGCTGCCTGCCCCGGTCTGCCGCCCGCAGCGGCGTCAGGAGGAGAAGCGGCGGGAGCAGCAGGAGGAGGCGCGGCTGAGGCGCATCCGGCAGCGCATTGACGGCCAGGGCAGGGGCCAGGATGCGGAGGCCGCGCTGAGCGACAACGAGGTGGAGGAGATCTGAGTGAGCGGCTGATCTCCGGGTGGTTTGGTGCAGCCTGCCGAGGCCGTCATGGTGAAAGCCGGAGGATGGCTACCCACCCAGAGTATCGGCCTGGAATGTTGCGCACCAGGGTGGCACATGGTGACAACAACGGCGCACTTGGCATTGTCTCTCCATCCCAGTAATGCACTGAGGACCTGATTGCTACAATAAACGGTTGGGTCAATGCAAATTTCTTTGGAGTGTTGTAAAGTTGCAGATGAATTGCATGCAGCGCATCAATGGCGCTTCAGACCAACAATCTGAACATGCGACGTCTGCTTCCCGGAAGCAATATGGAAAGCATGCTATGTAGTGTGCCAGAAGAGGTTGCGAGTATGGCTTGCACCCATACTTATGCTAAAATTACGTAATAGTAGGTCGGTGAGCGGGGCGAATGCCGCCCCAAGGTTGAAGGCTCCCATTAGAGAGTATCAATCAGGGCGGGACGATGTCAATGTCAGCGAAACTGCCAGCGCCAATGGGGCACTCCCAGTGCGTCAAAGGTGCCGGGCCTTGGATGGAATGGTGGCCGAAGTGCGGCAGTGCAGAGCCACGTAGGGGGTCTGCACACACCTTACGTGGCTCATGCTTACAATCCTCAAAACTGGCTCTTCAGAAAAGCCCAGAAGGGGTCCGAGCCAGTAAACTCATGGAAGTTCTTCAGCAAGTAAAGGCCTCTCTCAATCCAGAACTGCATGTAGGAGGGAGCTGGGGTTGCGCCTGGCATGAGTGGTATGCTAGGTTGGAGCGGACTAAATGCGGGCGGACTACAATACTTAGCTAAGTGTAGGCTCGCGTCAAACTGGTGCCCCCATGCAGCTGCAAGCAGCTCGTACAATGTGCTTGGCATGCCGGCTAGCGACATGCAGTACTGCCTGCCCGCTCACACACTAAACGCTCGGTGACCTGTCAGTTGGCCTGTCCTGCCTGTTGTTCTACTGCTTCATCCCTCCTTGCTCGAACAACAAAGTCTGTGCTGCAAGCTTGTTCTTGCTGAAACCAGACTGTAAGCCCACACAAGCAAGCAAGCAAGCTAGCTGCTTTGCTCTCCTTCCTCACCCTGAAGTGCGCCACGCTTTGCATGATGTTGGGCTTCAGCCGGTTGCACCGGCCGAGATTGTTGATTCCAACCTGTTGGGGGGGAAGGGAGGGACGTCATGCCTCACTGCACATAGGGTGTTTGTAGTGCAGAGGCAAAGGGGTGGCCGTGCATCGTGCTTGCTGCTGCGAACGTACACGCAAGCATGATGTACATCCATAAATGGCTGTCAGCATTTGCATCAGACGAGGCGCACCAGGGCGGCCCTTGCGCTCCAGGAACACGGGGCTGCCACCGTCACCAGGGAAGCCCTTGCTGTAGCAGGAGTTTTTGCCATGGCCATAGTAGCCTGAAGGCAGGTGGATGGCGTCCAGGTGAGCCAGAGAGGATGGGGGAAAGCAGAGCAGTGTGGTGGCGACAGGAGAGGGCTGGGCAGCCAGCACGCCTGCAACGACTGGTCCGCAAAAGGTGTGCACGTTGCGAGGCAAGGGTAGGGCGGCAGATGCTCTGCTCACGTGCACACATGGTCTGTCCCACCACCAGCGAGGGGAAGTTGGGCCACTCAGCTACGCACTGCTCCCGGGACGCCTTCAAGGTGTTGGTCTGCGGGAGGGGCACCGCCATAGGACAGGAGTGTGGGCCCAAGGGCGCCAGTGGAACTGCAATAGACGTCGGACCGGCCGTGGCCCTGATCTGCCAGGCTAAGGCAGCAGGGCAGTGCCGCCCCCTTGCACAAAGGGCGGCGGCAGTCCGGCCCAGGGAGGCTGCCGCTGCCTCGCGACGGCGGGGAGGTGCCTGAGGCGCCCCCTTGGGGCTGGGGAGGCAGTCCCAGCTCGCGGCATCTGGGGAAATGTGTCAATGTTGGGGAGGCGCGCGTGGTGATGGCGGGCTGTTCCCCCCCCCCCCCCCCCCCCGCTCACCCACATCAGGTTCTTGGCCATCCTGCCGTTCTTCCAGTCTCTGGCGGGGCCCTCGGTGGGACCCCAGCCCACCATGGACAGCATGGTGGCGTTGCGCCAGGAGATGCCGCCCTTGAGGGGGTCCAAGCGGGAGTCTGCATGGGAGCGGAATCGCAGGAGAGCTAGGTGGCTGCACTGAGCAATGTCACCGCGTAGCAGGGAGCCAGGCAGGATGCAAGCAGCTCATTTGGCAGGCGAGCGGGTAACCGTCGCGGCAGGCAGGCAGATACGGAAAGCAGGCAGATACGCAGGCAGATACGCAGATACGCATCCATTCATTCATTCAGCACACAGACCGGCCGCCTCTTGCTCGAGGGCGGCCCACTTTGGCCTGGGCAGCCCGGGCCGCCCTCCCCCCCGGGCGCATGTTCGGTGTTGGAGGGGTGTGCCCAGCGATAGGGGGCCCCTGAAGGCATGCGCCGAGGCCGGGAAGCGTGGTTCGGCGCTGCTGCACGCTTGGCGATTTGAACAGAACCACGTGCCGCCGAGCTGCGGCCGCAGTTTCCGGCCCACGGTCTACGGTCGCAGCCACGGGACTCGGCGGCACGGCGTTTGGGCCCAAGCTTGCTGCCGCCGCCGCCGTGCCCGGGGGGCAGCGCGGCGGCGGCGGGGGCACGCTGCGACGCCCCCGTGCTGCCGAGTTGCGGCCGTAGTTTCCTGCCAGAAGCCCACGGCCACAGCCACGGGACTCGGCGGCACGGCGTTTCGGTCCACGGCTTGCTGCCGCCGCCGTCGCAGGGGTGCTGCCTGCGGCGGCGGCGGCACGGCGTTTGGGTCCACGGCTTGCTGCCGCTGCCGCCGCCGCAGGGGTGCTGCCTGCGGCGGCGGCGGTAGCGCACGTGGCAACCCCCCGCGTTTCCTTGCCTCCCATCCACCGGACCCCGTCCTGCGCTTCACTTTGTTTAGGGAGGGGCTGCTCACTGCTCATTGCTCATTGCTCATCGCACACTGCTCAACGCTCATTGCCCTATATCCCACCCAGCCGCAGGACTCCACTGCCGCCCGCGCCCCGCCCCATCTGGCCGCTTGCGCGCCCCATCCCCCCTCGATGGGGCCCGCCCACACCGGGGCCTCCCCCCTCCCGCCCACTGCTTTCTCAACGGCCCCGAGCCGGGGCTGCCCTCATTGCATACATAGTGCGCCTTTCCCTGCTTTTCTAGTGACCTAGCGTTCCGCACTGCCGTTTGGCCAGCCCATGCTCCCGTACCGTTGCGTTTCTCCCCAATGCGCCATGCCACTTTGCCAGTCATACACACGTTTCGATGCGTGCCCTGTCAGCTGCTTGCGTTGCATGTCGCCTTGCTCCACCCCTGTTTTATTGCTTTCTCTGCTTTCGCCCGGTTCCCGTCCCGTTTCGGCGGGGAGTCTATGTTGCAAGCTAGTTCTTGCTTTACCAGACTTTAAGCCCACACAAGCATGCCGACCTGCCGACTCACCAGTCGATCGAAGATTGGAGGTCGGAGGCACAGGTGTGTGATGCGACTTCGCTGGGAGCTAAAACCCGCAAGCGCGTGCCGATATCGGCGATTTCTGTTGTCCCAGGACCTGGTGGCATGACCATTGCTGTATGACCAGTAGCTGGTTGGGTGGGTAGCTCATAACCACCCTTGGCAGCTATGCTGAAGCAATCATCTCACTGTTTTTCAAATAAACGCATGAAAACAAAGATATAAAATGGGCTGTGGATCGCAGTAAACCCACCTTCTGCTTGCGAGCGCTCCGAGTCGAGAGCTAGCTCTCGACTCGGAGCAAGCAGCTGCCCTGGAGCCAGCAGGTCTGGTGCATCTGAAGGGCAATTCAGCCCGTGGGAGTGGAGCAACGAAATGGGGTGCCATTCTGGGTCCTCAGAACCGCTCTGTGGAGCAATCGCAGCTGTCGACCTGCACGATGCCTGTCTGACTTCAGTCAGGACTGGCTTGCCGCATTGCAGGAGTCGCAGGGGTGCACACCCGCACAAGGGAAGGAGGTCTCGTCATTGTAGAAATGATTAACGAGGGGGCTCGACGCGCGGCGGCGTCAGCAGCAGCCCACGCCTGCATGATCAGACACCTTTGGTTGCTGCTTTTGCCCCAGCAGCATGCAAAGCAGGTCGGGTGACAGGCACTGGGTTGGCAGTCTGCGGTGTTACAGTCAAGCGGCTTGCCATTGGCTGCGGCAGGCGGCGGCAAAGGCGGCGACACGGGCAGGTGGTTGGAGAAGAAAGCGGTGGGGGGCAGGGGCTCAGTGAACAGTTCGGTATACTCAGTGAACAGTCTGGTATACTGCGTGATCATGGCATCCAAACGACAACACACCTCTGGTTTACTCACATGTTTCTTCTTTCTAGCTTGTGCCGAGTGGGCATGAAGCTCGACGAAGGGTGGTCTGAGGATACCCATCAATGCCGCGGGGAGGCCAGCCCCTAAGTGTCCCAGCTGCCGAGCCAGATGGCCCACTGGTCCCTGACGTAAATCCGGAAGGGATCTGCGTCCGTGAAGCTGTGCGTGGCCTTGAGGATTTCGACGCAATCGTGGATCCAGCTATGCACGCAGGCAAGGCCAGAGACACCCCCAAATTTGCATGCGGGTGGTTGCTCAGGGGGGCGGCGCACCCCAACCTTCCGCATGGAAGGCTTAGGTGCAACTGGGTCGGGGCTCATGCCGGGGACGTGGGTGCAGCTGCAGGTCACCGTTCACCCTGAAGTGCGAGGTGTTGCTGTGCAGCAGGAGGGGAGCCGAGCGGGCACCAGTGTTACAGTGTTACAGTCAACCAGCTATGATAGGCCGCGTGAGCAGACCTTGGGCAGGGGGCACACGTGATCAAGGGGCATCAAGGGGCACCCAGGCTGCACCCAGCTCCAGGTGGCCCCACTCACTCGGCTTCAGCTGGTCGCAGCCTCCGTGATTGATGATCCCAGCCTGCAGCGCAGGAGAGGTGGGCGGACTGCTGTGGGTGACTTGCTTGTGTGGGCTTACAGTCTGGTTTCAGCAAGAACAAGCTTG